AAGAAGCTCCTCAGAGTCTTTCAGAAAAAAGGAAATCTACCCTTCTGTCCAAGAGAACTAGATCTTAAGCAACATGGGTAGGCTGGGCATCCTTACAGGAAGGCCCCCACATTCTGAACCCAGACACTAAAGTCTGTGTTGGGTTAATGAATGGTGTTTCCTAGGAAGAAGGACCTCTGGGACATCAAGCATGAAGGTTTAGTACATGTCAGGTGTGGGAGACAAGGAAGGGGTGGCTGGAAGACATGTTTCAGACTGGAAGTACCCAAATGGGAGGATGCATGAGCAAAAACGCACAGCTTTGGGAAAGCAGGATCAAAGTGTTTCCAGGAGTATATTACAAGGCTGAGAAAACCCATGAGAGAGTTGACCCTCTTTTCTCCTATTTAAACATGTGGTGAGAAAGTAAAAAATGAACTGGACTGATAACGTAACAATCTGCCCAGCCATTCATCAGGCTGGGGTAATAGACACAGATAAGGCTGGCTGCATCATGATCAAAAAACAGTGCTTCTCCCAAGCATATGCTGCAGTTATGAAAGCGTCCTTAACAACCCCCTTCTCTGAGTGATACTACTTTCTAAGTCCCTGAAAAAGTGATTTTAGAGGACACACTATCAGAAACTTTATTTTAAAAAGTATATCAGTACGAATGAAACATTCCACTCTTGCCTGAAGGCACTAAGTCACTGTGACCCAGAGAAGAAGCCTCAATTCCCTGCACAAGAGCAGTGCTTCACATAAGGGGTTTCTGAACACAGCATTGCACACCTATCTTCACTTGGTAGCTGCCAAAGAAACAGGACCTGTTCACCTCACAGTCCAGACCTGATGTTGACCCCTTGCCACACAGCCCTGCTTTGCTTTGAGCCCATCAAAGCATAGCTTCATTTAAGCTTTAGTAAATCCCACACCTCATGAGGACTAAACTCCGACCTTTTTCTCTTGCCCCAATTCCTAACTAAGGGGTTTGGGGACTCATGCCCTACAAACCATAAAGCCTCATCAAAGGTTTTTATTAACTCTGTATAATGTGACTTGGTTCCCAACCTGACTCTGGCATAACATCATATGACAGATAAATAAGAAAATAAAAAATATTTTATGATCCTGTAAAATCATCTCTTGGAGAAATTTGCATCTATATAGAATATCCTTCCCCGAAATTCCCAGAGGAACCAGACATTTGCTACCTGTTATTTCTAAGGACTGCCACCTACATGTCAAGAACCTCAGTTTCCTCAACATCCCCTTACCTCAACTCATCATTTCCTTTACTGATCTCAAAATTGTTTAGACAGAGCTCAACTCTCACTACCAACTGTCAATCAGAAAATCTTTGAATCCACCTATGACTTGCAAGCCTTCCAACCTTGGAGATGTATCACCTTCTTGGGTCAACCAATGTGACTCTCACATATATTGATTTATGTTTTGGCTGAAACTTCTATCACCCTAAAAATGTATAAAGCCAAACTATAATTCAACGATTTGGGGCACACGTTCTCAGGACCTCTTGGGACTATGCCATGGGCCCAGATCACTCACATTTGGCTCAGAATAAACCTTTTAAAAGATTTTAGTTTGGCATATTTCATCAACACTCAAAATCTGTAACTGTTTCTTTTTTTCTTGTGTTTCATGTGACATCCATAGGTCTCTCTGATAGTAATGAACCAATTAACCTGACCATGTCAGACTACAGATTTGTTCCTGGTGGTCTTAGGCTGATTGGGGTAGAGTAGTAGCTAGAGAGGATAAAGGGTCTGGCAAGTCCCTAAGGAACACTGGCAACTGCTGCTAAACACCCAAACCTCAAAACAAGCTTGAGAGTCTTACCTGAACAAATGTGTCCTTTCCTTACAGTAAATGGAACAGTTTCCCTAGCAGAGAACTCTATAAGCAAGTGTTTAGAACATGTTTTTGAGGACTGTTTCTTATCATTGTGTTTAAAGTATCATTATGTGTGGTTTCCATATACACGTTTAAAAGCTAACTCTAAGCATGCTTCTGTAGAGATGCATTATGTGATGTTTTCATACAGTGAATAGCACTATTTTCCAAGCAGAAAAAAACTTTGTAAGAAAGTGCTTAGGACATACTTTTGATGAATGTTTCTACCAATGTGTTGAAGGTCTCATTGTGAAGGGTTTACATATACACATATTAAAGTCAAATCTAAGCATGCTTTTTTAGAGATGCATTATGTGTTGTTTTTCTGACAGTGAATGAAACTGTTTCCCATGCAGAGAACTCTGTAAGCAGGTGCTTGGAACCTACTTTTGAAAGATGTTTCTTACTATTGTGTTTAAGGTCTCATTGTGAGGGGTTTACATATACATGTATATGTACACTTGGCAAAGGAGATGCATAACTGATAGCTTTGAAAAGACTCTATCTAATTTAGAGTCTGATGAATCATTTATAATTCTCCATTTGCTCAACCACCACTTATTATGTGCCCACTAAGTCTATGGCCCTTTTCTAGGCTGTATGGCAGGGATAGTAAGTAGAAGATACAGCCTCAACCTACAGGGACCAACAATCTAATGACAGTAACAAGGCCCCACATGTCACCATCATAGAGGACAACTCCTAAGAAGCAGGTCAATGAATAGAGTGATTATAAAGGTGGTACAGGTGCCTAGTTATGAAGTGAGGTGAGGTTCAGCAGGGAAAACACCCTTTGATCTGCAGGCATTGTTTAACCAGAAGCCTGATTTGTCTTTGTACAAATTTTAATAAATAATTTTTTCCCTTACCCACCTGTTCAATTGGTCTTCTGAATCTGTAAGACCAAACTATTTGTTCAGAAAGATGTTTAATAGTCCTTTCTTTGGGCTATTTTTCTATCCCACAGAGACCACAAATCTGCATCAATTGTAATGAGAACAACTCCAGATGTGGTGAGCTAGAGGAACCTCAGGGCACTTCATTATGAATATTTAGACACTTTTCCTCTTGTTACAAAAATTACGCCAATCTGTTCTCCAGCACGAGTTTCTGATGAATTTCAATATCACAAAAACTTTTTATTGGGGGGGATAATGTTAGTTGATTAAATAAATCCTGATCAGCTTTGTTTTACTTTCACTCAGAAAATACCAACTCACATGAACATTTTTTGAATTATCACAACTATTAATCCTGATGTGAGCTTGTATTTTAGCATCTAAGGAGACAGCTGTGCAAGAAGGAACTGCTCTCTTCTATATTGCTGGGCAATTTTCGTCATAGGTATGTCGTCTGACCAGAAGGAAGAAGGAAGGAAGCCACTCAGATCCCACACTCAGGGTCATTTCTGATACGTAGTTGGTTAGCACTCTGTGGCTTGCCACCTAAACATAGGTGTAACATCAAAATCCAGAAGCAGGAAAATGGTCCAAATTGAGAGGGCTTTTTAGGGGGCTGAGATGCCACTAAATGGAAATTGTGGGAGAACAATGACCTCAGAATTTGCTCTTGACAGTGAAAGCCAGAGAGACTGTGTGTGGGTGAGATTAAACTGCAGAAATTCTTGTCCTGGAGTCTATGAAAAATGTGTTAATAAACATCCCTCAAAGTTCACTGACAGTGATAATTCCCCTTCCTAACGTGCTACCCATTTACAGGCATCTTAACATCTATACCCAATGACACATTCTCATAGTCCCACCAAATTGTTCATATTTTCTTTTTGTCTCTCCATGTGGCTGCTTAATTCTTTGAATGCAGAAATCTTCCCCCTCTGAGTTGTAAAGCTTTTAGAACTGAATCAGAGGATGAAAATGCTAGGAGAAACCTCAGGGACTTTCTGTAGTACAATTCTCTGACTTAACAGACAATGCAGACAACGAAGAGGAAAGTCAGAGAAATAAAATTACTTGCTCAAGGTCACACGGTTAGCAAATAACAGAGCTGGTCTTAGATTATGTGATTCCTGACTCTTGGCCAAAGCACACCACCCAGCCTCTGCAAAACCACTCTTTATTAGTAACCCATCCCCCATACCATAATGCTTCTTGAGAGCCAGGTATAAGGATACAGTTAATAGATACTTATAAGACTGAACGAGGCTTGGGCTAAAGCCAGAATTCTCCCACATGCTTAAGGGAGCTGAGCATTTGTAACTGTGTTCATTTCTAGGCCCAGAAAGCCCATCTTAGGCACCAGAATTACTCTAAAATGACACTGTCCAATATGATCTGTACCGGGCACTTGTGGCTATTAAGCACTCAAAATGTGGCACCTCCAAATTGAAATATGCCTGGGATTGTGGAGACTTCACATGAAGAAAAGAATGAAAGTATCTATTTAATAATTTCATATCAATTTCATGCTGAAATGATAGTATTTGGATATACTGAGTTACATAAAATACATTAAAATTAAGTCCAACTGTTTTTCTTTTTTTAATGTGGCTACTAGAAAATTTAGAATTACATATGTGACTCACATGATATTTCTATTCACTAACAATGTTCTAAAACACAGCATACCCCTTTTATCCAGTAACCTAGTCTTCGAAAAAAAATTGACTCTCCTGCCCACAGATATTCAGAGGTCTCTAGAGGTTTTCAAGAAGATGTGTTCAGGATGCCAGCAGGAAGTTAAGGGTTGGTAGCATCGGTTGGTTGAGTAGGTAGCCCTCTCTGACCTGAAGGCCTGTGAATCCCTAAAGTGCTTAAGTTGCCATTCTCTAGAATCTTCCTGCCACCTAAACTATGCAAAGTGCTAAGGTTATGCATGGATAAACCCTAGCCCTGCACATGGATGAGACACATAGGGCAGGAAAGAACCATATTCTGTAAAGGGACCAAGAAAAAAAACAACGGAGAGTTCTGAATCTAACTTGTGCCCACCCTAATGGAGATTGAATGAAACATAATTGTGTGCATTTTTTCTGATGTGTCTGAAAAAGCTATCAAGATTATGAAAGCATTTTTTAAAAGTACGCCAATTATTGCAAAGTCTTTAACTGCTTTCAAACATACAATGGATAACTAAGGAAGGAAACTCACTCTTTGTCCTGCTGTCCATTTCTGTTTTTGATGAATCTGGAGTTGCTGTAGTTGGAGGTAACTTCTTCCCAATAGTCTGAGGGAGAAAACAGATGATTTTACTTATCAGGGTGTTTGTCTCTATTAAGCATAGGATCAAGATCAAAATGGCAAAATGCTCAAAACTGACTATAAACCCACGCCCTTACGTTTGTGTGCTGCTCTGTACATTGGGTGCCAGTTTAGTAGGCCTGACCATCAGTGACAAACACGTGGGGAAACTAGGTAAAAAACAAAAAAAGCTTTTTTCATTCAGGCACTCAGTACCTCTTATTCTCTTTCTTTCTTGATGCTCTTATTAAAAGCCTGACTGTCTGTAGCAGAGAAAACAGATATAGTTCCCCTCATTGGATGAGCTGACTTAGTCTACGGAGGCACAGTACCTGGCCCAACAGAGGTGCCCAAAAGTAACTGCACAGTGAAAGAATGGAAGTAGGAGAGAACAAATCAAAGGAAAAGATAAAGGAATGGAGGACCCAGAGGACAGGAAGGATGGGCAGGTAGAAATCAGGGTGTCCAAGGCAACTGTACCTTACTGTGCTTTCATCTAGCCAACTAGAACTCCACCTGACTCCCAGGGAATGAGACCCACTCACATCCTCTAGGACGGATCTACCTGCCCCCAAAGGCAAAAATAAGTCTGTGAGTAGCTCCCTTCTCTCCAGTCTTTTAACCTTCCAGGGCTTTAACAAACTCTAATGACCAAGACACTAGGCTTTTATTGACTAGTTTCTAAAAAGAAAGATTATGAGTTTGTTTGAGGTCATTCCCTTTCTTTCATTCGCAGTTAATTCTATTATCATTCGTTATTTCTGAACCATCCACAAAGAAGACTGGATATTGTCTCCGCCTAAAGATGTTTCTGAAAACACAGGCAACTCAGCAGCTCAAAGACAAAAATGAACTAACAGACTCAATGGTTCCAAAGGTGAGGTCTGTTCCCACTCTTCCCCTTTGCTACCACACTTGTGATAATGATTAATGCCTGAGGAAAATGTCTGTTGATACCAAGGAAACAGCTGTCACAACCAAGTAGCTGGGTAAATCAACCTTCCCAACAATGGAGGGCTTCACCAGTGAGAATTTCAGCCACTGGGAAAACCAAACATCTCTGCCCCCTGAACACATGAAGAGGAATGAACTGCATAATTCAAAAGCTGGCATGGTGGAATTTTTCTTCAAATAAAACTGATTTACCACAGTTTTTAATTTGAAAAAGTTCTTCATGCTTCAAACGTTGAACCTAACATTAAATATGAATAAATCACAGAAAGAGGATAAGATAAATCAAATCCTCAGCTCTTCATGAATTTTTAAAAATATTTGTGACAGAAAGCCTTTACATTTTACACGGTGACATTTTTATTTAGTGCTGCAGGGCTTTCTACATTGGATAAAAAATGAAACCCAAAATAATATGCCACCCCTCAACTGCTGCTAAGTACTCAAACTAATAATATTTTATGATTTCAAGAGAACATCAGGGAAGAAAAAGCTGGATGTTATTCTGGCATGAGGTCAAGTATGATGAAAAACTGTTCTTAGAATTATCTTGAAAAATCAGGTACGGGCAATAAAAATGGAAGCCCTCAAAGCGTAATTTCATTCACATTCCTGTTCACACTTCCAACAGCATCCCTGCCAATCTCTTTGTTGTTCCCTTTTGGGAACTGGAATAAAACATCACTACTGTTGGGAAGAATCATCACAGATTAGGAAGAAGAAAACAAAAATGACCAGTGCTTCAGTTACTATTGAACAAGGAAATCAGGAAATGCGATAGTAAACATTATTCCCACTCCTGACTTTGTTTGCTTTCCTGAAAAAAAAAAATGAGACATGCAATTGTTTGGGCTTTAAACCAGATGCCTTCCTTTAAAGAAACTTTCACAGGTTGCACATTCTTACAATTTCCCCTTCTTTGGTAACAAAAGAAAGTACTGCCCATCATGTCTGATGTCCTGGTTTGCCAGAACATTCAAGCTAACACATTAAGAAAGGCCACCAGTTAAATACACTTACTTTGGCACAAAAAGAAACACAAAAAAACAAAGCTTACTCTGTTTTGTTTTGTTTTTTTCCCTCGATATTTCAGAAAATACAGCATACTGGCCTCTGTGTGGATCCCAGTAACAGGAGTGACGGTGAAGCTGATATTATACTCATCTTCTGGAGGTGCTGGACCTTAAATCCTCCCTTCTACTTTATGATTTATTATTGAAAGTCTAGAATATGCCAAGTTTCTCCCCTCTCAGCCTGGTACTGCAGGTGTTCCAGAAATGGATATTGTTCCAGTGTTTCTGTCTTCTCTAGGATCTAGACCTAGAGAAGTGTGGTCCCTGCACCAGCAGCACCTGAGAACTTGTTAGTAAGGCAAATTCCCAAGGCCCGCCCCAGACTTTCTCAATCAGAAACTCTGGGGATGGTGCCCAGCAGTCTCTGTTGGAACACACCCTCTGGGTTTCTCATACCCGCTCAAGTTTCAGAACTACTGACCTAGATGTAGGAGGGATTCCATTAGTATTAATTAAATGCCTTTTCTAGGATGAAAAACTCAGGTGCCTAGTCTCATACCTAGATAAATTATAAAACATCTTTTTCATTCTTCTTCCTCTCTTCTCTCTCTCTCTCTCCTTTTCCACCAAATGCCTTCCACTCCACTCCACTCTATTCTCACTGGCATGAGAACTTGTCATTGCTACTAAACAACTCAGTTCAGAGTGGAACTTGAGTTCAGTACAGCAGATATATAATATCATTGAGGAAAAAATGGAAGGATCTCACAAATGGCTGTGAGATCCTTCACCAAAGGAAAACTGAAAAGGTGGGTGAGAAGAAGGGAGGACGGAGAGAAGAAAGGAGGAAAGGAAAGGAGTGGGGAAGAAAAGGAAGGAAGGGTGGTTTTGAATAAAACCTGGAAGGCTATGTGGACAGCCAAGCAGGGACATTATCATGACAGTACTAACCTTCAGAGAGAGAGCCAAACCTAAGCTGCTCCTTCACAGGGTTTCCCTTTACTGGCATGTTAAGTGAGGTGTTTCTTCATTGTAGCAGACTGTCTCACACACCAAAGGACATTTAGCAACTCTTGCTCCTACCCACTCAAAGTCTGTCATGCCCCACAGTCATTCCATCCACTTCAAACACCCAACACCTTTCCAAACACTCACAGTCAAGAACCTCTAGCCCTTGCTCTTCTTCTAGATCCAAAAACAAAGACAAAGGGTGTTATTATTTCCTGTCAGCATGCCAGCTTCCTCTATCTCTGAAAACATCTTTGATCCGTCGGGCTTAAAATGAACAGAATCCTAAATTTCAATGGGCATGCCTCAAAAAAGCAATATCTAACTCCAGTACACAGATAGGTCATGGGTAAAGGTCAGCTATGATGCAGGACTAGATGGACAGAACAATCAGGGAATACCATCTGTACATCTCTCCTTCACATAACAGGCAGCCAACAAGGATGTTAGGCTTGCAGTGGCTGTGGAAGAGGATACAGGATCTCCATTTGTGGCTTCCTCTGTAGAGTACCAAGTTCTCACCCACCCCCCACCCCACCGGTTGCCATAAGGAAGATGGCTTAACCAAGAAAAGCACAAGCCATGCACTCAGGGGCTGTGTTGACATGCTCAAGACACAGCCTGTCCACCTCCTAAGAGATCCACAAAGAGGCCCGTTTTACTGTATGCCCTTGGATGGAACAGACTCTTAGTTTTCACTCCCTAACTTGGCCCATCATTTCCTCCTCCCTTCTGTGACATGGCTGAAGACTTCCTAGTTCATATATCCACATCAGTCCAGGATGCTTGCCCTCCAACTCAGAAGCCATTGCCTGGTCTGGGAATGAATGTACAGATGAATGGATCTAAGGAGATAAAGGCTCTACAGACTATCACTATGGACCTAATTCTATGCACAGTAATCACCAGGCTGGTGTCAACTTTTGTTTATCTTACCACATTCCAACATCCATTTTAAAATCTAAGTTTAAAAAGGAAATAATTCAGAAAATTCATACCTTTAAACATTTAACATAAGTTATCTCCCTTTAGCTCTCCTGCCAAAGGTACTAAATAAACTTTTTGGGATTTTTGTGTAAGATGGGAGTATCATATATACTCCTAACTCTACAAGATCCAGTAATACAGCATCAGGACAGATAACCACCATATGAGTTCAGTTAGTGGAGGACTGCACATTTCCTTTCCTGTGCCAAAATGAAGAAACGAATGCTTACAGGAAAGACAATCACTGGATTGGAGTCCAGGGGAAGCCAGTTCCCAAATGACTCATGTATCTTTCTCCTTGTGACCGAGATCCTGTTCAAATCAAGAGTATAAGATCACTCCTCCTACTTTATTCTAATTCAGATGCAAACTCCTTTGGGTGTTAAAAAGAAGGTTCTAATTATAGGACAATGTTAAAGAGAAGAAAGTTTAAGTTCTATCTCTGAAAGTCGCCCCTCCAAGAAAACCACACACAGCTCCTGTATCACAAAGGCAGCCAGGTTCAGTGGGGAAGGGGGGGAGAGAGAGCACTCCCTGCATTCTAGCAGCTGGTGAAGGTCCCCTGTCCAAAGGCCAGACTTTATGGAAGGTATTCCAGAAAAGGATGATGGTCTGAGAAGCTACCCATAGACAGACTCAAGTACTCACATAGAGCCAAATGCAAGAGATGACTTTTCAAACAGCTGGTAAAGCAGGATAGAGATGGCTCTTTGATGGTATTCCTTTTACAACACTAGTATCTGACAGTACTCCTTACCCTTCTGTTCAGTACATATTTATTACATCCCCACTCAACGTGAAGCAGGAAGGCAGACAAAAGGGCAGGAAGAAGTTGAACATCACCACAAACACTGAAATAGCAATTGTAGAGTTGGCTCTCCAGAATGGTGTGTTGAGAGGGGTCCAACCATTCAACACAGTTATCCCAAATCCTGCCCAGGATACAGAGAGCTATATGATACAGAACACAGTAACAGGGGGAGCAAGACAGTATATGTACAAAGGAGGACTCCCCCCAAAAATGGAA